CTAGACAAACCCAGAGGTACTGTGAACCTCAGCTGTCCCATGATCCTGTGAAGAAGTTCACAGTCTTGCTGTCAAATAAGTCCAACAGCTTTGCTATCCAATTACTGCTATTCCTATGTCAGCAGAGCACAACAAAAACCTGGTCCAGTCATCTCTGGGGAAAATGTGGTACATCTCTACCCCAGAACCTGTTGTGCTACCTTTATTTTTTGGCTTCCTATTAGCTGAGCAGGAATTAAAGGAAAGGGAAATAGCTTCAAACCAGATTGGTCTTAAATTCTTTATAAGGGAATCACACAGACCTTCAAAGTTATGCAGACATGTCAAGCTCCAGCCATAGCAATGCATGCAAATATTTTATACCCTGAGTACTGCATTTAGCAATGGGACTTCTGGCTTTTATTTTTTAAAAAGCACATGTTCTCTCATCTCTGCATTGTTATAAACCCTCCATGTCCATGTAATTTTTATTTTCCGCTCAATTAAGTAAAACGTATTCCCCAGCAAAATATTCAGAGTGTTTGGCCTGATAACTCCTTTACAGAGGCAATCACAGCCTTCTAAGACAGGGGAGGAGGGCTGTGCATGCTTCATCTCCCCCTGCAGCAGACAGGGCTGCCTGGTGCTATCCTCAGCTGTCTGCTTCCCAGCCCACGTCTGGGCATCCAGCCCCTTCCAGTCATCCCTCCTGGCCTCTGTAGCTGTTCAACATGAAATTTCCAGGTATCTCACTCTCTAAATGCCTGAGGTCGACCTGACCCTCAGGGGCAAGTCCCTTCCCTGCTGGGAAGGTAATGCATGTTCACACACTATCATTTTCTTCTTTGCCTGTGCTGCTATCCTCATCAAACACACAAGCACACACACACAGATACATGAAGCTTTTAAAAGCAAAGTCAAGAATGAGCCCTGCATTTGTGTCAAAGAACATAAAATACCCCTGGTTTAAAACACTATTAAAATTATTATTAAACTGAACTGTATATGCAACAAGGAACAACTAAATTACCCAAATAATCCTAATTCTTAACCTGCTGAGAGAAAACCATCTCTGATTTTGTGTACAGACTGCTGAAAATACACACCACAAAACTCTAGGTCTGTTTTTGTTTACATATATATGTGAATATATATATAGCTAGACTACAGTACTTAATGTAGTGCTTCGTAGTCATGCCAACCTTTGTATTTTTCATGTAAGTACTATAATTTTATGAGCTGGACCCAGGAGATCTGTACCTAGAAGAGCAGAGCTGGAGATAGATCTAATGGCACTGGGTAATTCCCAGGAACAGGCCAGGTGCTTGGCAGACTGGAGCAGCAGAGGAGGAGGAGGAGAAAATAGTACCTGCCTCCTGGGGGATGGGTATGAGGCTTTAAGCCTCTGTCTGGCCTCATGAACAAATGCCACGAGTCCATGCTTCCTCATAATGTTTCTGAATTCTCCAACAACCTCCACCTTTTCAATCAGAACAACCAGAGCACGGCAAACTGCACATACAGCTTCAATGAGGCTGTGTCTGAAATGTTTTTCCCAGTCAAGGCAGCAGTGGCAGAGAGAACAGATCCAAAATGATACAGGAGATAAAGAAAAGGAATCTGAAGGGTAAGGGTGAGGTAACAGAATACCAGAGACTCAGGTTCAAACCTTGTCCTCCATATGAATGAGGTGTCAGGTCTGCAGTCATCTGTCCCTATGCCTGAGGCCAAATGCACTCCTGCCTTCATTGCTAGCCCCCACAAAGATGTTTTGGCCATCTCCTGTGGTGACAAAGCCCTGCTGCACTGCTGCTTTAGAGTGTAAGATGGCTATGCCCAGAGGTCCAGGTTCTCGGACCCCATGTTGTAACAGCCTTCTACCACATTGCAGCAGGTCTAACACACCTGTGTAGGCCTGTGTAGCCTCACAAAGCTGATGTGAAAGCACACAGAAAGACTTTATACCGAAGACACAAGAAGAGCACTCACCCTGTGTCTGAGGGAAGACTGGTCTGTGCATTGCAGCAGTACCTGGGGGCTTCCATTGCTTGTAAGGAAGCCCTGTGCAGGTACACAGCTGGTGCCTGCAGGAACAGGCTCTGGACTCTCTGATGACCATTCCTTACCCAGGTTTGCCTTACTGAAGAAAGACCAAAACCTTCCTCTTCTCTTTCCTAGCTCAGCATCAACTGAGCTGTGCTCATTCCACCTCCAAACCTTGGCCTCATATACTGTTTAAAACCCCATGTGATCAAATTCTGTGTTTCCAGGCTTCCTCCTATGACTTCAGGCTCACAAATATTTTGTCTGACAAGAGATATGAAAAGGCATTTCTAACACCACCCTGTGGACAGTGCTGGGGCATCAGAAAGGGCCTGACATGAGGCTTGTCCATAACTTGATGTTCCTGGGAGGCTCAATCACCCTTTCAGGTGCAGGGCATGTGTGCACTTGTGGTGGTCCCTGAGTGGCACGTGCCATCTCATGGAGGAGTTCACAGTCCACAGGGGACAAATGGAGTCAGCCTTGCTCATGCTGCCACTAGCTTGCATCTGTGCTGCTCTGCAGTACCACTATAGGGCTCTCCCACAGCCGCTCCCACAGCTTAACACCACAGACTGATCATCACAAGGCACAACTCCCTTCACAAGTCACACAGAAGCATCACCTCGCAACAGCCCCCTAGCTCAGCAGGGAAGCTGAGAGATACTAACAAATTGTGTTGGATGCGTGTGTCACAGCCCTTGCTGAATGGCTGTGACATTCTCTTCCATTTCTCTTCCAACCACCTTTTCCATGGATAATTTCTGTGGCACCCTGGACAGGGTTCAAAGAGCTGCAAGTGGGTGCAAGCCCTGATACAAACTGACAGGAGCAAAATTTCTGAGTCCCAATCCACTTGTCCTCTGTGTTAGGTACTTCAGTGAAATAGGGTTACACAGGACATGATTAAGAGGAGTCACAGGCTCTTGGTGGATTTCATTGCAGTGCTCAGCCTCTGCTGTAATCACCTTCCATGCAGCCCCTGACAGGTTTCCTCTGGCAGATAAGACCCTTACTTGGCCTCATGGTGAACAGGAGTCTACTGTGACTGTCAGAAATACCATTACCATTGAAAAATTTGGTACGTGCCACCTTCAGGCAAGTGCAACAGAATATCAGCAAGTGTTTTCCATACTCAGATCTCTTCTACTTCTCAAAAATGACATATAATGCTCAAATAAAAGGGCCTAAAATATGCCACATAGCCAGAACATGTGTGTTGAACTCTGATATTTTGGAGTCATTTGGAAGTAGCCAGTAACACCAGAGTAGTAAGGCAGATGTTTAAACTAACACCCACATGGTCAAAATAACTGTGGATTCTAGTCTGATGCTGTTGCAGCCACATAAAGCCACTGAAATGTCATCTGTCCTTAGGAAAATATGAAAGGCACTCACTCTTCCACTATGTCCAGTGCTTTGCCATACACTTGACATGAATTTTCTATACATAAACCAGTAAAATATGTAAAAGGCAAAATCCATGCCACCTGCACAAAGACACTTCACAGACACTCTTGTGACTTGCATTCAATTAGTTTGTCAACAAGCTGTCCCCTGACAAGCCACTCATAGACATGACAGTGCTTTCAGGATATGTCTGGTGAGAAAGGAATAGCCTCTATCAGTAGGAACAAAGAAATATGTTGAATCTCTTGTTTGTTCCTCCGACTTCACAAAATCACAGAATATTCTGAGTTGAAAAGGACCCACAAGGATCATCATGTCCAGCTCTTACGTGAATGGCCCATATGGTGATGAAACCCATGACCTCAGTGTTATTTGCACCATGCTCTGAGCAACTGACATAACTTCAGTCTACTCTGCTTCCTACTGCTGTTGCTGAGCAAAAGGTCTGAACTACCTGGGGGCAATACTGGCAGCCCCCAAGGAGGAAAAGAGACAGAAAAGATACCCCTAAATATGTGCCTGAATGCAGACACTGACACCTATCATCAGTAAGTCATTTCCACCCAGACCCCAGAGGCTTGAAGACACACAACACAGCAAATGCGGAAGCTGCTGTCTTGCTCAGTGAAATTCATGTCTGCTGGAAAAGGAGGCCTCAAGCAGCCAGCATAAATTGCAGCAGCCCTCACAGCCTGCATCAGTTCACACCAGGGAATAAAACCAAAGCATCTCAGCGTGAATCTTCCCCAAGATACGCTCCATTGCTTTTCGCTCGCCAACAAGAACTAGGACATAACTGTTTTGTTATCTGTCATTATCTGTTCTCATGTTCTCACAAGCAAATGGGTAATATTCCCCCAGCAGGTAGCACTCTGCAAAGCTGGCTCTGGGAACAGATGAGTGCATTCATTGCAGGGACCTTTGCATTGAAACTGAACCCAGCAGATCTCTGTGGCACTGGGCTGCAAAGGCAGGCAAACAAACAGCAAAAGCAACAGTGAAGTTATGCCAAACATACACCGTGCAGTTGATTTCCAAATGTGGTTTACTATCTGTATTAGCAAAGAACAAAGGAGGAGAAAGACTTAAAATATGATGCATGATAAAAATATTTCTCAGAGGGATGATTTTAAAAGTTTTCTGTTAGGCATCATCTTCTCTTTAAGCCTTGAATAATGTTTCATTTTCAGAATTTATATCGCAAATAATAACCACATTTTCTTTCTTTTAGAAGTATCTGTGCAGGTCTTCAAATAGTTGGCTCTGAGTTTGACCTAAGAATACTGTATAGATCACTCTCCCTACCAAGGCCTCAAGAGATAAGAGGATAATAACACTACTTGTTGGCCCTTAGTGTTCTCCCTCAATGGACCCAGCTACTTCCCAGCACAGACTTGTTTTTTGGTAGCTGGACATGTTCACTCCAGCAACTTGTGCAGCATTTCCTGCTGTCCCTTTCCCACTTTCTCAAGAAAACTGGAACAAAATAGCTTTGGGGCCAGAGTCGATTAATATCCCCAGATACTTTACATTCAACATGCCATCTGTGTTTTGTTTTCTTGTTAAGAGGGTTTTGTAACATTTTTTATTATCTACTGTAACTAGAAACAACAGCAGGAAATCGTGTAGTGCAAAGCAAGTATAGCGAGTGATTTGGCTTCACGATCACAGGCCATCAATCCTCCACTTGAAACTTCTCCACTACAAGTCTTTTCCATCCTCTCTTGCACATGTACCTATGAGAGAGAGGGGGTACAAGTGTGGGGTAAAAGCATGCATATGGCAGAAGGGCAGGAGATGGTTAAAAGCACTCCCCAAAAATAAGGCATAGAAGGGTTTGATGGTGTTGCAGATACCGTTTGCAAACAGCATGCAAACTAGTTAGTTCATTGCTAATTTTTCTGAGGGACACAAACTTTTTTGTATCTTTGGTCAACCCAAGAGATTATCTGACTGTCCAATTTACTTGGTCCTGTGCTCTCAGCAATTTGATTAACAGCTTCATTGATTAATAGTGATTAGTTTAACCAACAGGCTTAACCTCAGAATTAATGTGTGGTCAGTAATTTAAGTGACTTGTAAAAAAAAAGTCATCCTGATTGCTGCCTTGCAGCCCATTTTCCATTAAATCTTTCTTCTAATTTGTAACCTTCTGCTTTGTGTAAAAACTCACCATCTCACATAACTCCAGTTTCAGTGTTTGGACTCCTCTGTAGACACTAAGTGTAGGAAAAAAAAAAGGAGGAAGCAACATGGATTATGATATCCTAGTGCAGAGTTATTGTAAAATTGCACTTGCTGCATGCCAGAGAATAGGAAATTTCATTTTCAAGGGCTCCCTGGGGGGCGGAGATAAACTACAAAAGTCACAACTTGTCATAATTAAACACTCATGCCCATTACACACAAAGGAAATTATGCACGTTTATCTAGGTCATTGAAACATTCATATGGCAATACTATACAGGAACGTCCATTAATATCCTGTAAGAATTTAGTGAAAGTGTTCTCCCAGAAGCCATGCAAGGCTGTCTCTGATGAAGGTGCTGTAATAGCATGGAGGAGGTGGGGGAAGGGATGGGAATGGTTAATGTATTTCCAGAAGGAAGACAAAAATACTTAGATGGGTATACCCACCATTCCTTCTCTGCCAAGAAAAGCATAAATATATTAATTGGATAAGCTTTCCATATTCAATGTGGTTATCTAGCAATAGCAATGGAAGTGGTTTTAAAAGTGATAAACAGTAAGTGTTGTGGTGCTTGGAAGTGAGCTTGGTTTGTCTAGTGAAATTTGTACTGGAAGTTGGTAGCTCTGAAAATATATCCCACCTCTTCTCTCAGATTTGTATTTATTTTGAGTATCTACTTTCTGTGGGAATGTGTGTGGGTTAACAAATAAGAAAATAATTTTCTGCAGATATTGCTGTAGTCATCCATATTCTCTTTATTCTTGTCACCTCCTCAATGGTAAACTGTAGTAATTTTGCCTGCCCTCCGGTACTTCCCGAAAGTCAAAAATATGTTTTTCCCCATTAAAAACCCAGCAAGGATTGTTAGAAACAGCCCTGATGAGTTTGGCACTGGCATCTCCTGGGAAATTAATGGCCAGGTGTCACTAATGGCTCTCAGCTTTGTGTCAACACTCCAAGTTACTCTTAATCCCCAGGACAGGCTCTGCTCTTTATTGCTTAATTAGAACACAAACAGTTCTATGAAAATAACACTGATGGTCTGACTCAAACTCACAAAAGAAGATAAAATGCAGGACTTAAGGGTTAAAAAAAAGTCCCAGAACTAACATGTAGCCATCTGTGTAAGTAGGTTTTGTTTTATGGCAAACACTGTTAATAGAAATGGTTGAAAATTTATTTTTTTCAGGATCTGATCTTTTGCAACTAAAAGACCTGCATTCATTTGCTTTTATTCCTAGATTATGGTTTACGCTGTTTGGACCACTGCCAAGTATGTGACAGCCCTCATGTGGGAAAGTGGCATGAATTTTAAGAATGAATGAGTAGTCTTCCAAGTGTTTGTGCCAGAAGCACCTCATTCACTAGTGGTGTTTGTTTTTTACTTATATAAGACGTTTTATTCATCCAATCAAAGAAGAATGTCTTACCATATGACCCCTGAAATCTGTGTGTCTCAAAGAGTCATAGGGTAGAAGAACCCACAATTTTGATATTTCATCAAAATATTGGGTAAAACTCTCATTCAATAAACATGTTCACAGAAAATCCATAATAAGTCATTAACCATTTTTTAATTCAAAAGGACAGGATTTTGTGATAACATCTGAGGTTATTTCACTTTCGTTTGCTTTCAAAATGCTTTTCAAGCTCTGACATGTACAATAGTTTGCTGTTTGAAGAAGTGTTCCATCCCCAACTCTAGAGGTTGAAAGGTCTATCTAAAAAAGGGAGCTCCTAAAAAGCCAAATCTGAAACCATGAAAGTTTATTCTCCTAGGTTCAAACTTTATTGTTGGAATGATCTAAGGATCATTTTTATGAATATGTATAATTTTTTTTTTTTATCGATAAAGCAATCCAAATTAAGCCCAGTGCTCTGCTTAAAATATATGGTAAAATATATGGCATGCAATGTTCATCTGACTGTAGAAGAAATTTCCAGACCTGAACTAGTAAGACCCATGTCTGGATGTAGATTCAAACACATGATTTTGCTTAAGACACTTTGTTCCAGCTGCCAAAGAAAGAATTTTTATTCTTTAGCTATTTGTGAATCTGGATATACACCAGATACAGTCCTACAGTAAAGCAGGAACACGACCTTTAGACTTTTACAGAAAACCAACGCTAAAACGCATTTCAAATGATTATTTTACAGTGCATTAAAAAAAAACACCTTTCTCTTCCAAATTAGCAGATATCTCTAGACTAAGTCCCATTTCCTTCAAGAGGATGCAAGTGAAAATAAGCTATTATTTTATAGGTTTTCACTGGTGTCTGTCCCTTTGAAAAATAAGAAAAGCAGTGATGCAGCCACCAGTATTTTGGATACATTTGGAATACGTGCCATACCGATTAGCAGTGCTATTATCCCTGTCGGCAGCGCTGCCGTGCTTCTGCTAAGCTGTCTCGGAAGGCTCACATACATACAATGCATCCTGTTTCTTCTAAAAAAAAAAAAAATCACTTAAGCTGACTTCTACTAATCCCCCTGGCCACACAGAGTGGGCTCACTCAGACTGAGGAGCCAATTTATAATCGGATCTATAGTACCTCTTGCAAGATAGAAATTTAGCTTCACATTTGGAAAAGGTGAGAGGAGGGAGAAAATGTTGGAAGGTTTTCACAGCTATCCCAGTAACAACATCTGTATGAGCTCCATATTGGAGATTACTGTAATAACACAGAACATCTACTGAGCAACATTAAGTTACTCTGTTTTCTTCTGTCTGTGTGTGTAACACACAAGTCCAAGTTTTAACAGTGCATATGCTCTACAGACTTACGACTTTGTACATTCAAATTAAGAACTTTTGAGAGACATGTTGCTTTATTTCTTTCAGCCAGTTCTAGTTTTAGCCTTTTTTAGCAGGAAATATAAATTTTAAATATTGTGAGAGACACCACACACTTGCACTATGAATTATTTCCCTAGGGTTTCCCTGGGGTAGAAAGGTTGATTTTAAGCAGATTATCTGTCCAAATGTGGCTGTGTACATTTGTCACTCGAGTCTTCAATTAACTGGAAACTCCTAATAGCCATGTAGGACCTGAAACTTTTGTTCAGCTTAGCCTGCTTGGCTACACTTCATATGCTGGCAAACAATTACTTTTTTGCACACATGGTACTGTGTGAGGGAAATTTCCCCAAATGAAGGGAAAAAAGTTAGGGCCCTCATTTTATGCACTGTATTGCCACCATTTGCTAAGCATGATGTGCTAGGTGTTGATCTTGCAGTACATCTCCAAGGCAAAATGAAGTTATAGATGTAGCGTGCCTTGATCTACTCAGTATGCCTCACTGAATCTGCTTAGCCTGGGTAACAGGAGAAGTGAAAGGATGCTGTACAAGAATCAGGACAGCTCAGCAACCCAAGTGCCCTTCCAAGACTCATTAGTGAGGCCTGAAGCCTCTGCACTGCATCTCTGCTGATCTTGGACATTTTTATAAGCACACTTTCATCTTGTTTTGGAGACCAGCCCCTAGAAATTAAGAGTCTCTAGGAAATTTGTTTCTCCCCTAAGAGATTGGAAAGGACCATCACCTTCTTCTTGACTTTCTTTTAAATGGATGGATGAATGTGGAGGAAATGTGACAAAAGTATGTCTTCAGGAAAGAAAGCATCAAAACAGGTAAGTAGTAATACTTACTGAGTATTAGAACATAGTAGCCACCTGTGGGAAAGTCGTTCCACATTCAAAGGGCCAAGGACAGAAATGCTGTGGAGTGACACCAAGGCAACTGCGTTGGATGCACCTGCAGAGTTACAAATGGGAAACAAAACTCAGAAATACAACACAGGGAAAGTGCAGAACTGTGCTCAAAACTGAGTGTAAGGCAACTCCAGCTGAGACAAATCAATAGAGAGTGGCAAGGGCTAAGGAAATAAGCAAAGAGCACAAGCTTCCCCACAGCATTCTTCCCAGACTGGAAGGTGCAGTGCTCAAGGCAGTTGGTTCTGGGTCTGGGATGGCCCTGGGATGAGGCAGCAGCACTTCAGCACAGATCTTGGGTTGCTGAAGAAGTTACTCTTGTGTGTCTGTTCTTCAATAGCATTCCTGGAGAGTTAATGTGCAGTTACAGCACATGCACTACGGACTTTCATACAGCGTTGGTTGTTTAAGTTATATCTGCATAAAATGAGTGTTCAAAATACTGAGCGGCTGTGCAACCCAGAGTTGAACAGACCTAAACACTTCATGAAATACTAACAAAATAGCTATAAATCTCAAGCGTAAAATGCCCTGCTCAATACATGCAGAATATTTAATCTTACTTTTTCCTCAGGACACACATCATTAACTGCTAATCAACTCAAGCTTCAGAAATCCCTGAGCGCTCTTCTCAGTTTTCAAAAATGCAGGCACAAAACAAAGTACTTTTTATCCCACCCTCAGCAAGGGTAACGGGTCCCAGAGGTGTCCAGGTGCAGGTGACATCGCTGCGCTGCACACCGTACCACGCTGTGCTGGATGCACTTTGCCTGCGTTTTATGGAGCTGACACAAAACCCTTCAGGTTGACAAACAAAACTGCTCCGTGGCACATGGTGTTGCCCTGCAATTAGGCAGTGCCTGGGAAGCTGAAGCCAGCAGAACTCGGCTGCTCCCATTAAGTCTGGGCAGGCAGATGCAGTCTCGGTGGGGCTGGGTGGGAGGGAGCTTGGTGGAGGGCTTGCTTTGCCGAGTGAGCTGAGCGGTGGCATCAGGCACAGAGCAGATCCCTCTTGCTGGAAGTCTTTATTTCCCTCTTGGAATCCAACCTGGGAATGGTCCCCCTTTATGTGCAAGGGCTGAGCTCAAGCACACCCTCTGCAGTGCTCTTATTTGTAAGGGAGGGGCTGCTATTTAATTAGCCTGGCGGGATATGCTGTGCATTTCAACAGAATGAGAGAATGCTGCTTTGTTAAAATGCCTGCTTGCAGGTGCTAACAGGAGTAATTGGTGATTCCCCCCAGCATAACGTTTCTGCTGGAGAATTTCTGCCCCGGATCCTAGAGCCTCTCCTTTATCTGAGTAAGTGCACTGCAGCCTAGATTCCGCAGGCTTTTGCTCCAGAGCCTTCTCCCCATCTCTGTAAATTGCTTGGGATATTTATACAGAATGAACACAGAAACCAGGTTGCCTTCATTTGAGTTCATATTGTGGCCAGTGAGCTTGGCCACTTTCTGCTTCCTCCTCTTTCTCCTTCTTCTCTGCCTTTTCATTCCACAACTATTATTGCAGGAGGCTGCTGATTAAGGTGAAAGCTCAGAAACCAAAATAGGGCAGAGTCTACTCCACCAGCTGCAAGGAGCCCTGCAGTGTGTTAGAGATAGCTAGACATGGGATTAGATATTCAGGACAAGCACATACAGGGACACTTGTGCTGGACTCCCACCAGGCCCAGAATCAAGCCTGAAGGAATTGCTTTTCCACTGACCCCGTATCAAAAAATTCTGCCTACTGGGCTCAGCTGCCTGGGCAGTATATGGGTCTGAGGTGTCACTGGTGAGGCTGTACCTCAAATACTGTGTTTGGTTTTGGTTCCCGTGGTTCAAGAAAGACACTGAGGTGCTGGAGCATGTCCAAGGAGGCTGGTGAAGGGTCTGGAGCACAAGTCTTACATGCAGCAGCTGAGGGAGCTGGGGTTGTTTGACCTGGAGAAAAAGAGGCTCATGGTAGACATTATTCTCTACAACTATCTGAAAGAAGGTTGTGGCAAGGTGGGGGTCAGTCTCTTTTTCAATGTAACAAGTGACAGGGGGACAGGAAATGGCCTCAAGGTGCACATGGGGAAGTTTAACTAAGATACTAGGGAACATTTCTTCCCTGAAAGTTTGAACAGACATTGGAATAGGCCTGGAATGTTCAAAAACATATGTGGATTAAGCATGGTTTAATATCCCCAAATTGTGTTTAATGTCCCCTTGACAGTGCTGGTTTAGTGGTTGGACTTGATGATCCTAGAGGTCTTTTCCAACCTGATTCTATGATGAATGCTAAACCTGTGCTTGTCCCATGGATGGACAAGCTCAGACCTCCATGATCTCGGGCATCTCTCTGCCAGACTAACAGAGTCAATGTGCCTCCCCACCCTCTGCCCATCATTCTGCTGGAGGGGTCTCCAGTTCCTGGTGTCCCACCTGGACAATTTGACTGTTTTCCAAATCCATAAGGAGGATGCTACTGCACTGCCAAGGGCACCTGCTCTGCCAGCAGCCCCTGGCCTCCATGCCAAGCACGACGCAACATCTTCTTCCCCCCACTGCTCCGGGCTGGGCCTGTCTGCAGCAAAATCCACACTGTGTGATACACTGAGCTGTCCATCACAATGTCCCCATGGCTATGGGTTCACATGAACTATTGAGCCAGCCATCTCTGCACAAAATACTTCCCTAGTAATGGCTGCCATGTTGCTCAGTGTAGAGGGGGGAGCAGCTTTTGACGTAAATTGGACCAAAAAAAATTAATGATCTGGATGATTAGTACCAGGTACTTGAACTGAACCTTCAGCTGAAGAAGGAAGGCATGGAGGACTCTGGAGGGCTGTGCTAGTTCTGCTGAAGAGAGCTGCCTGGTGTGTAGCTCATTTCTGTGTTGGTCTGAGCCTCCTCGCCGCAGGCTAGAGGACATTACCATAGCTGACTTTTATTTTTCCATTCTAGAGGGACCTTTTAATGAGAAGGCTTTGCCTCACAGATGTCCCCCTCCTCTGAGTCAGTCTGGTGTAAGAGAAATAAGGATGTGGCCCAGAGGGACTAATCATATAAATAAGATTTTAGGATTCGACTCAAGTAATAAATGAAAGACTAGCAATTTGGTATTATGAAACCCCAGCTGCATGAACTCTCAACTTCAGCCTAGTGCCTGTGCCAGCTTCCAGCTGGCTATCAGAAATCATTTCCACTTCAGTGAGACCAATGTTGAAATGTCCCCTTTATCCTTTTCCAAACCATGCCCACACATTCTAGCCGTATTTATTTTTACTACAATTTGAGCAGAAAAGGTGGCTTGACATCACTCTAGGAGTAGTGCAGCATTCGTTTGAATGCTTCAAGACTGACGCCTGCCCTCCTTCCCACCCCACCAGGCTCACAGTTCTGCCACGGCCTGTCCCCTCAGCCCCAACCCGCTCAGGCATGCTGCATGGGGGCACGGAGCCCAAAACATGAACAAAAAGTGAAAACAGAAAGGAGAAAAAAAAAAAAAAAGCCTATTTCACAGGTTTTTACCATGTTTTTGCCAAGATTTGCGAGATATGGGTCTGGCTGGGCCTTCTCACCTTTGAGTGTGTCGCAGCTCATTCATCAGGAGTAGCTGGCGGGGGGCCAGGGGTGGCTTTGCTGAGTGGCGTTGGCTCACGTTCACCGGCTGGCCTGGGCTTTGTGGAGAGAGGGAATGAAATTCTCCACCACCCCATCCTGTGAGCTCTGATCACGACATTTCAGCTTTCCTGCTGAGTGTGGCTTGAAGCAAGGAAGGTGGTGCAGGCACCACCCTGCCGTGGCTCCATACCCCAGGCAAGTGCTGCTGGATAGAGGTTTTTTTGTGGAAATTTCTGGGTGACAGCAGCTGCAGGACAGCTGCTCTGGAGGCGGCTGTATTTTGTGTGGGAACCGTATCTCTGGAGGGGTGTGTGGTGTGAAGCCTTGGGGAAGCCCTTCGTGGTGGGCAGCTGGGCACCTCCTACGGCCACCGAGGGTGGCTGCCCCTACACTGGGGCCCACTGTCACCACTGTTGGTCCTGTTGTAATTAATAATAATTTATTGTGGTCTTTGGTGACCTGGGGGAGGCACTGCCATTAGCAGGATGTGGGGAGATGCTGGTGGCCAGGGGATAGGGGCAGGCTGGCCCTGCAGACCCCCTTGCATGGCAACTGGCAAGACAGGGCTTCTGAGGGGAACAGGGCCATAGGAACCTGCTGCTGGCTTTATTTTTAAACAAAACCCCAAATCCTTAATTTCTGATGGGGGAGGTTCAGTGCTGAAGGGGAAAGCTGGGGGGGACTCTTGGAGGGAACCACCAGGCTGGGTGGGTGTGAGCTGTCCCCCTCAGAGGGACAGAGGTCCATACCAAAGTCAGTTTGGTGTGCAAAGAGAAGGACATGACAGAGGTCAGTACCCCAGCCTGTTGGTGGACTGAGGCTGTCCAGGGAGGAGTATGCCTGAGCATGCAGTACCTGTGGTGCATCAGGGTGCTCTGGGCATGCAGTTCTCTGCAAGCCTGGTTCATTTCTGTCACTGGGAACTGAGGCACAAGAAATCATTAGTCACTTTTAAGGATTTTGACCATCATACACAGTCACAGATCAATGTCAGCATATCCTTAAGAGCCAGCTCTTTTCTTAAGAGCTAGATCACCAACAGCTGATTTTTTCAGTTTTAGTTGATCCAACTTTTCCCTCTTTTTAACCCCTCCCTCCCCCCTTTCTTTTTTCCCTTCTTTTTTCTTTTCCTTCTTTTCTCTCTCCTTTATGCCTCTTTCTCCCTTGATTTCTCTCCTACTCCCCCACTTTTTATTTATTTATTTTTAGGGGGGGGGAGTCTAACTAAGCAGGATTTCCTTCAGAGACTGTACAGAACTGCAGATCTATTTGGAAGCCAGAAGTGTGATACACTCACAAAGTTGCCTCATATCATTGCTGATCTTCTTTCAGTGGATGTTAAAAAAATCCATCAGATAGATAGTGCTTTCTAATAAACCAACAACCCTCTCCCAAACCAACCTGACAATAAACTCAGCCTCTTACTTCTGCCAGGCTGTAGCTATTGTGCACAGAAACACAAACATTTGCTGCTCATGGATGTGTGGGGACAGCAGCACAGTGGCCATGGCCGCATGGCCGTGCCACCTGCAGGGTTGTCTGTTCTGCTGCTCAGGTTGGCCTTGCTTTGTAGCAGCTCTCCTGCCAGCTGCAGCACAGCCCACTCCCAAAACTGTGCTGCAGCTCGTCTTTGAGCACTGTGGCAGCTTCCCCCAAATCAATCAAAGGATCAAGGATGTTTTAGGCTTGGTATTGTTTCTGCTGAGGAGAGCAATCAGCTATTTCCCGGAACTCAGAACAGGTTCTCCTTCACCTCATTATCCATAACACCATTTGCTACAAAGCAGTGCCTTGCTAATAACTGGCTTTTGCTTATTACTATGAAATTATTCTTCTGTGCCATATGCCATCTGTATTTCTCTCCCAAAAGGTGCTAGGGACTCTGTTAGTGGCATCCACTGCTTACTGGGATCACAGCAAGCAGACAGTTCTTGAAATGTTCCTATCCACATAGGCACAACATGTTAGAATTCAGAACTTCAAAACATATAAAGAAACAACAGAGGGGAAAGAACACTGCCTTTGTGCTTTAACATTCACTTCTTTATTGACATATGCAAATTCTTCCACCCTGAGGTGCCCTGAGAAGGCACAGCTACCAAACCAAGGGCACTGACACTAAATAAGAATTTCCCCAACACTTGTTTGCCTCTAAGCCCAGCTAAAATCTATAAAGAACCATAACCAAAAGCAAAGCCATAACCATTACTGTGCTGTCAGAATCAATCTCTACTGGGCTATAAGGAGCAGAAAGAGATTACATGAGTCCATGCCAGGGAATTTAAAGGGTCACTAGTTGGAAGTTGTGACTTGAAGAGAGATTCAACAAGCAGCCAGGGAATAGTGAAAACTGGTAAGGTTCTTCCTCCTGTGGAGGAGAGCAGAACCAGGCTGATTTTACACCAGACCCCCTGCTTAAAAACAAGAAACAGATTAATTCCACCACAACAGTGTATGGACAGTCTCTTATCTGCCCTATTTTTTGCTGGCAGATCTCCAGTAGAAAATTTTCG